GGGGGGGGGAGTAGTAGGAGGATAGCAGGGGGAGGGGGCAAAGGCGTCGTTCGTCGCGCGCAGAAATTCTCTATAAAAATAACCAAACCTGCAGATCCCTGGCGCGGCGCGTGCCCGCGCAGGGGACTGGCGCTGGCGCCACGGATGCGAGACGGAGCTCCTTATTTTCGTGCGATCTTGGCGGGCGCTCGCAGTGACGCCCGCACACCTTCCTGCCCTCTCTCTCTCTCTCTCTCTCTCTCTCTCTCTCTCTCCCCCCCTCTCTCTTGCTCTCTCTCGCTCTCTCAGCAATGCCGTGCCCTAGGCCGGGGTGCGCGCGCGTGTCGCCGGCGCGACGCCGGTATGCACGTCGGCGACGGCGCTCGTATTTTTAGCCGCGCGCGTCTCCCGCCCGCTCGCCGCTTGTCGTCCGCCCCGCGCGTCGTCGCGCTCCGCCCAGGTCGCCGTCGACGACAACAAGGCCCTCGTGCTGAACCTGGACGACGCCTTGCTCCGGCAACGCCCGCAGAGCGTGGTCCAGAGCCCCGGGGGGCTAGGCTGGGTGGGGGGAAGAGGACGTGGCCACGGAAGCACCACCGCAGGCTGGAGGGAAGGGGGGGGGGGGGGGGGGTGTAGCTGACCTGCTTTCGGCGCGCGCCCTTCCTGATCACTTCCGGCTGAAGGTGATCGCCCCAATACGGCTCTAGATCGTGCCACGCCGTCGCGTCGCTCTGCCCGGGCCGGGGGCCGGTCCCCGTGGGGATGGGGATGGGGGGCGGCGGCCGAGGCGGCGGGGCGGCGGGTTATATTGTCGATTTGCTCTGGGTTTGTGCCGGAAGAGAGGTTGACGCGGCAGGGCCGGCGCGGGCCGGGCTGAAAGGCCATCGGAGTAGGGCACAGGGCACATGGCGAGGCACAGGGTCTTTCGGTTGCGGAAAAAGGGAAAGGCGACAACTGGGATAGCGGTGCAGAGCGCAGAGTGGAGGGGGGAGCGAATACCGACAGCCTCGGGACTTCGGGACAAATGTCACGGGTGTCACGGCGTCGGGTGCTCCCCCTTCTCTTTCTAGCTCGCACCCTGACTCGCTACATACTACAGTGTCGCTCACGGACCCCTATTTTTCGTTGTTGCAGACCTCCTCTACCGCCAGACGGTCGTCGTCAACGGGTCCCTGACTGACGTAGAGATCTTCGACGTGTCCGGGGAGACGGTAAGCGCGCCGGTGCTGCTCACGGTCGAGGTGCACGCAACGACGTGTCCTCGAGAGGAGCCCGCCGATGACTGACCAGGGCGCTTTTGTCTGCTCCAGAGGGACACCATGACCCCCGAGGAGGCGTCGCAGCTGTCGGCGGACGGCGCCGTGGTCGTGTACTCCATCGTGGACCGGGCGTCGTTCGAGTACGCGCGCCACGTGCTGGCGCTGCTGGGGGCCGTGCCCGGGCTGCGCATCACGCTGCTCGCCAACAAGGCCGACCTGGCGCACCTGCGCGCCGTGCAGGCCTCGGAGGGCCGCGCGCTGGCCGAGGCCGCCGCCGGCGCGCCCTTCTACGAGGTGTCGGTGGCCGAGGACAGCGCCGACCTCTACCAGGCGTTCGAGCTGCTGGTCGGCGAGTGCCACGCGCTGCTCGCCACCAACAACAACAACAATAACAACAGCACCAACGCCAACTACAACAACAACAGCGGCAGCAACAACAACGCCAACGGCGCGGATCGCCAGGCGCAGCAGCAGGGCGGCACTGCGGGGCGGACGCGGAAGTTCTCCGTCACCAAGATGCTGGGGACGCTCATCGGCTCCAAGAGCTCCTCGCCGCCGCCCGCCGCCCCCGCGCCCACCGCCTCCCTGCAGGGCACCGTGGTCGTCTGCCACAAGTCGGAGCTGTTCCGGCGGGGTGTGCTTCGCAGCCGGCGCCACAAGACGTCCATCACCGCCTCGCTGTGACTAGCGTGACCGCGTGACCGCATGACCGCGTGACTGGCGGGACCAGCGTGACTGGTGTGACTAGCGCGACTATGGTGGTGGTCGTGAACCACAAGTCGGAGCCACAAGACGTCCATCACCGCCTAGCTGTGACTAGCGTGACCAGCGGGACTAGCGTTACTAGCGTCTGACTAGGGTGGTCGTGAACCACTGGTCGGAGCCACAAGACATCCCAGGTGATCCCGAGCCCTCCCCGCTTCGGGAGCTGAGATCGCAAAACCGCATTGTTTTGTTTGTTTTTTAAATTTACTCCAATAGGGTCAGACTCATACGTGTGAGTGAGTGAGTGAGTGAGTGAGTGAGTGTGTGAGTGAGTGAGTGAGTGAGTGAGTGAGGGAGTGAGTGAGTGAGTGAGTGAGTGAGTGAGTGAGAGAGAGAGAGAGA